TCAGTCAGTAAGTCTGGCCTTTTTTTGGGAATTTGAGTTTAGTTCTACATTTTTCTCCCATTCTAACCAGGACCTGCTTTTGTGTCCTGGTCAGAACGGTCAGTAGTGGTAGCCAGGCACCATCTAGTTCTTCTGATCTCAGGCTAGAAGAAGCTGTGGTTCATGTGGGCCATTAGTCCTGTGGACTAATTTCTTCTTGAGTTTTGGTTTCCTTCACTCTTCTTTGCTCCAAACAGAAAGAGGCCAATACTTAATGTTTTAGCTTCCCTTCTATTTCTTTATTATTCACTCTTACCCTTGTCCTGGCTTTTTTTCTCCCATCTAGGCTAATATAATTGCCTGCTTTCTGCTTGCCCTTATTCCAGTTTCTCTCTCCTTGCCCCTACCCCCAGTATTTCCTGTATCCTGCTCCAAACGAATTCTTCCTAGATTACAAAGCTCGTGGATAAATTATTTAAAAAAAAAAAAAAAAGACAGCAGTACAGAGTCTATTTTTGGGAGTTTGATGGCCTACAGATTCTGAAACTCTCCCATTATAAAACATCTAAAAATGATAGATAAAATATTTTTAAACACCTTTTAGTGAGTGGTTGAGCTTGTAAAAATAAAAGAGAAATCCTGTGAGGCCAAGAATAAAGCTTGAGTACAAATCTAGGGAGGTAAGCTAACCTTGGAGTCCCTGGATGGTGCTGTTAATGTATTTGCTGCTAGCAGAAAGGTTGAGGGTTCTAGTTCACCCAGAGGCACCTCAGAAAAAAAGTCCTGCTGATATACTTCTGAAGAGTCAGCCATTGAAAACCCTATGGAGCACAGTTCTACTCTGACACACACACAAGGTCGCCACAAGTTGGAGTCTACATGAGGACCTCTAGTTAAGCTAACGATGTGGCTACCAGACCCTAAGGGAATCACTGGATCTGGGTGTCTAAGGAGTACTGGAGATAAAATTGCATAGAAAATTTAGCACAGAAGGACAAAGAGATGGAGATTATGAAGAAGAGGTTAAAATACATGTGGAAAGAAATGAGAAGTCTGAAACGTGTGCCAGGAGTTTACAACAGAGGAGATGATGGAGAAAAGACAATATTCAAAAACATAATGGCTACAAGTTTTTAGAAATGATACGTAGCCCAAAGAACACCAAGCTGGTTAAATCAAAAGAAACCCATTCTTAGACATAACATTTAGACTGAGGGTAGACATCCCAACAACAATGGAAGCCAACAAGATAAGGAAATACAGGTAGTCCCTGATTTACGATGTTTTCAAATTCCGACGAACCGCACTTACGATCGTCTTTTGTGTGTGTGTGTGTGCGCGCGTGCATCTTATCGTTAATAATATGCATGTATGTATGTATTAAAATATATCTGTAAGTTTATACATAATGTTTCCAACCTCCAAAGACAAAGATCAGATTTATAAAGATACTGATAATAAAAGACAATGAAAACAAAAAAAACAAGGTATTTGACTTACGTCAGAACTGACTTAAATGACGGTGTCATCGGACTGGAACCCCATCGTAAATCAGGGACTACCTGTAATATCTTTAGAGAAAAGTAATTATCCACCTATAATTATTTTATGAAATAAAGATATTTTTATATAAAGAGGGATAGAAAAGGATTTACCACTAAAAAACCTTCATTATAGGAACTTCTAAGGATGGACTTTAAGAAGTAGTTGAAAATGGCCCCCAAAAAATGATCTGAGGTAGAGGAAGAAGTGATGAATAAAGGTAATAATAAATATGAGGGTAAATCTAAACTTACAATAATATTTTATGAAAAAATATTGATGTATATCTCAGTAGTATAAAAGAAAGCTAAAGTGATAGACACCAATATCATATAAGGTTGGAGGCAGATAATTGGATTTAAAACATTCCAAGGTCCTTGTATTTAAAAAAAAAAAAGTGAAAGCTATTGATTGTCTTTGGATTTTAAGTATGCATGTTAAAACCTGCCATGAAAGCATGATCTATCATATAAAATATCTTTTGATCAAGTTCATTAAACATATTCTTATAGTAAATACCTACATATTTGTTAAGATACATCGACCTACCATTTCCATATCACTGTTATAACTAAAACCTTTCAATTGGATACATTGGATTTCCAACCAATAATCTTTTCACTCATTTCTTCAGATCTCATTCATTATGCAACTGCCGTTACAACTCTTTTCCCAGTCTTAATGTACTTAGTAACATGTGTGCTATATCAGTTTTAGCTCATTTTACAGTCATCATTACAACTCTTTTCCCAGTCTTAATGTGCTTAGTAACATGTGTGCTGTATCAGTTTTAACTCATTTTACAGTCATCGTCATGAGGAATAATGCACTTCAGTCATTAGTGTTTAGACCTTTGTGGTTCATGCATTGAGCCTCATCCAGGGTGCCATAGCCATGGCAGCACTGTATGTGTGGTTTTAGAATTAGTGCCATTGAGGCTTGCCTCAACAGAGCCTTCCCAGCCGATTCTAGTCCACAGGACTCCTGTTCTTCCCTGAATTCCATTAGTTTGCATCCACACTGTCCCACCTGGAAAATGGAGATAATAACAGTACCTTACTTTTGGCATTATGTTCCAATTCAATGTGTTAATGCATGTACAAGCACTTGGAGCAGCACTTTTATAGCGCGCTAGCTGTCTACTGCTTAGCACTTGGTTCTTAATTATCTTGGAAAGATTACAGGTTGTTCCATTCAAGTCTCAAAAATTGTAATTTACCCAAAGACAAGATTAAGTTTTATGCTTCTATGGGAGTTAAAAAAGTCAACTGTGTGATAGAAAGTTAATTCTCATTCACTTAGGAATAGGTGACTTTGAAGATCACATTTCAGGTGGGGAGATCTTTGGAATCTGTTTCTGGGTGTGGTGATGATCAAGAGCTGTTTAAAGAAGTTGTGAGCAACCTCATGAATCCATAGCTAATGGGAACCTTCAAAATTAGAAAAATAGTTGTGTAGTTCTTCAAAGTGAAGGGATCTCAAGATGCCACTGAAGTAGCTTTAGGAAAGTTTTAAACTCCAGGACTGGTGTTAAAGCAAAAGCGTTTTCTATAAGTTCCCTTCCAGCTTCAGTGAGTACTTGCTCAAAGTGGAGTCCTGGTCGCGTAGCAGTTAAGAGCTACAGCTGCTAACCAAGAAGTCGGCAGTTCAAATCCACCAGCCGCTCGTTGGAAGCCCTATGGGGCGGTTCTACTCTGTCGTATAGGGTCGCCATTAGTAGAAATCGACTTGACGGCAGCGGTTTTTTTGTTTTGTTTTCCTTTTTTTGCTTAAGGTTGTGTAGATTATCCACACTGTAGGGTGAAACAGCTGAAGCCCTGAGAGGTCGGGTGAATTTTCAGGAATTACCCAGATAGGGGCTGGTGGATGAGAGGATGGTTTTGAGACAAGGCATGATCTAGAAAGGGCTAGAAACCAGCTGGTGTGCTTTCCAGTGAGGCAAACCTGCACCACACCTTGCTGCTGCTGGTCCCACTCTGCAACAGCTCTGGGCAGCCTGGGCATCAGTCACTTCCTGCGTGATGATTCTCACGTTGAAGGTGTCATGATTCGGCATTTATTGAACAATACAGTGAACTTTTATTATATATCTTATATATATGGTTCTGTATGTTAATACTATTTTTTTCTTTATAAAGAGGATTATACTATACTTTTTTGTCATTTATTTTTGAGTACACACTTTTAAACCTTACCTAGTAGAGACAGAAGGGATGATTATTTTTATGTGCCTGAAAACCTGCAGAGCGGATGTTTTGAGTCTTTTTTTTTGACCAGGTAAGTATCTCAGTATGGTGTTGGCAGGAGCCCCTGATTTCCCTAAGGTGGATATTTACATAGTTTTCCAAGCCTAGGAATTCTTGTTGTCTTCAAAGGAGATTTAAAGAATTTGCTTAAGGATAATATACTTCCTAATTTAATCAGGTACCCAAGTTAAAGACAGCCAAATTTTTGATAACAGGATAAAAATGTATAGCACTCCCTATTTGGGTAGACATGTTTAGAAAAATTACATTCAGGAAATCAAGTTTTCCAATTACAGATTTTAAATTTGTTCACAGTAAAAATAAATAATAAACTATTTTCTTAATCTGTGCTTATGGTTTAGGACAATCTGTAAGAGCTTATATAAATCAGTAGAGAAATTCTACTTTATACTCAAGAAAAAATAAACTAGAGGAGTATAAGGACTTCTGAAGGAATTAATTTATTGGGAGAATTTCTATGAAAGTGCCTAATATCTGCCTTGACTGTGCTAGGTTCTATGAAGTAGAAACGTGAGAGATACGTGCCCTCAGGTGATTCACAGTCTAGTGAAAGGGACATTTAGACCACACACACACACCAAAAAAAAAAATAAAATAAAATTTGCATCATAGTGCAGCAAGATCTGCAGCAGAGGTGTGCACGGGTTTCCATGAAAGTGATAATGATTACAGGTAGAATCTGGTTAAGGGGGATTGTGGGAGAAATGCTGAAAGTGGTCAGATGAAATCCTTTCATATTCTGAGACTTTTTATCATTTCTCAACTCTGGTTCATGAGTCTTTTAAGCTTTCTCTGGAATTACTATGTATTTTCAATATACCTCTTTGCTTTCCTAGTCGTTAAGTCACCTCTTCTAGAGAGCAGAGTCTAGAGCCATGTTACCTGGGCCCAGTCCCAGCTTCACCTCTTACTGGTTTGGTTACCATAAGCAAGATATGTAACTTCTCTGTGCTTCCGTTTTATACACAAAGGAGGTAGTAGCTTCTACCTCACAGAACTATTGTGAGGATTACATGAGCTAATACATGGAAAACATTTTAGAATACTGCCTGGAACACACTAAGACTGTGAAAAAGTCCAGTTATTATTGTTAGTTTTGGTGCCTAATAAACCAGGCACATGGAAACAAAACCGCCACGTTGGACATTTAGATTCTCTAAAATACTAATTGCTGTCAAATAAAATTTTCCTTTTTTTCCTCCCCCTTTCTAGCTCCAAGAGGAAAGCGAGGGTGGAAAACCTTTTATGCCGTGCTGAAGGGAACAGTTCTTTACTTGCAAAAGGTAAAATAAATAAATAAAAATAAAACCCACAGAACTTTATGAAATAATGATTAAACAAGGTACCCAAAGAAACATTTATTATATAGAGAGGCTACATCATATACCCAAGAGACTTTTATTGATGTTTAAATTATTTTTTAGATTTTTTTTTTCTTTTTTGGTGAAAAAGATTTTCTTTGAATGTATATGATCAGAGAAATAGCTGGATTGTGTTCTAATTAGGTCAAATATTTTTTATTGAACATAAATTGAATAAGTTAGACTTCATGTGGTCTGTATAGATACAGACCTGTGGCAATCCCTGTTTTCAGTGGGTCTTGTATACTGTAGGTTAATTATAACCTTCATTTATATTATTTAACTGTCTTCATTTAAAGCTTACCTAAAATGAGACTCATGTGCTTTCATTCAAGTTCTGAAGTGTTTCCACTTAAAAATGCAAATTAGTTCTGAATTACCTAAATAAGGTTTTGATCACACCATTACCTGTCAGGATCCTTTCTTCCAAATCTAGAACCTGGAAATCAGTTTAGGATCCAGTGTATAAGTTCTGACCCTTTGAAAGGTAGTAACTGGAGCTTCTTCCTCCAGGGAACAGGGATGTGGTGACTAGAATGAAGTACATGCCTTGGCAGGGCCCAGCAGGATTCTAGCTCCCACTATGACGGAAGGGCACAGAATTGGGGTTGATAGTATAACACTGCCCTCAGTAGTGACTAATAGGAAATGATTTTTTAATGTATTTGGAATCATACTGTAATAAAGTTTTGGCATCTTACTCTTTTCACTCTACTTATTATCATAAATACTTTGTCATGTAACTCAAAATTTTTCAGAAGCTTTTTTTGTGTGTGTCAGTCTGGTGTCTGGTCAGACACTAAGATGGTATGCTATTATGTTTTGTGTCTTCTTGTTGCCTTATAAAATTTATAAAAGCATTAATATTAAATGTAGTATATTCCGTTAAATAGGTTTACTATAATTTAACCTTTTCCTCATTTTTAGACATATTCTCTTTCTGGTGATTCAGAGTTGTAAATAACAGTACTTACGTATTTGTGCACATTTCTTTTTATTTTCCTAAGAAAAATTTCTGGGAGTGTCATGGGTTAATGAGTGGGAACTGACTAAAATGCTTAAAGCATATTTCTAAATTACTTCTAGCAACTTTGTACCAATTTTCATTTCCTACAAGCAGTTGGTGACAATATTTCTCTCACCGCAACCTCTCCTCACCACATTTTAATTATTCTTTTAGGGGAATTTAAGGAAAATTTGTAAATAACATTCTTATTATTCTTTTTCCTCTTTCTTTATCAGAACTTTTTTCAATTGTCTAAATTGAGGAGGACCGTATCTAATACAGACCCTTTTGTTGTCTCCCTTTTGTGATAGATCAGGCAAGGAACATCAGAATATGGGATGCTTCATCTTGGGCCAGAGCTTCTTATCTGGGTAAATAGTCTTCACAGAGAGAACTGTAGATTTGACTGAAACCAGGAGAGCCCAGAGAAAATGAATCGTGATGTTCTTCTAAGATTTACATGTTACTTTTGAGGGACAAAGGGGGAAATGGAGACTGTTGTTGATATTAGGAGACTATCCGTGCTTCTGAGTGATCACATATCTTGTATTGACTTTATTTCCCTTTGGAGTCAGCCCAGCTTCTAATTTATAAGTCAGCTGCATTGGTCCCCGCTAAAACAGCATGTGTGTGCATGCTGGGCCCACACTGGTCCTTTCAGCTAGCTTTGTCTCTGCTGGGAACAACCCTTTAAAATTAAATTTCACATAGCACAGTGGTTTCCCTAGCATAAACCCCATTCTCTTAGCTTACTTTTTCATTTTCTCTAAAATCTCTATAAGGGGTATAGCTGTCTTTGGCAGAAGCATTGAATACCTAACTACAGGGTTTCCACCCACTCCATCCCAGGGTGGGCCTGGGAAGAGAAGAAAAGTACTCTTGCATTCAATATTTGACAGTGGACACAAAGAGAGATAGTGTTTCCAAGTCACCAGCTTTGTCTGTCTCATTGTTCTCTCCCTCAGATGGGTGTATTGATATGAGTTTGACTTAACCAGATACACAAGAGAAGGAACTAGACATTGACAACGTAATGACTTTGTACAGTTCAAAGCATCAGCATCCATTTGGATTAGAGCTCCAAAATTAGATTACATCTCCAGATCTGTGGCACCTCTGGAGCACAGCCAATGTGCACTTGAGGGAAAGCTGAGTGAAATTCCTCCTTTAAAGAGAAAAAGCTGGCACTGAGGAGATCATGCATAAGAGTGGGAGAGAGCAAAGCAGAGCTGTGGATTATATACCAGGATGATATTTAAGTCCATAAAAATGCCAGTATGGCTGCAAAGTATCTACTTAGGATGTGCATAGACCAGCATAAACCTATCTATTCTCTCTTCTTATTGTTATTAATCCTCTTGAGTTAGAAAGAGACTGAAAGAATGTGACAAATGCTTAAAATCTCAACATGGTATCAACCACTCTGTGTTCACAGAAGCCTCACACAGATGCTTGAGACTAGCTCCTTTTAGTTTAAGATCCAGTTTATGGTTTCTAACCCTTTGAAAGGTGGTCCCTGGAGCTTCCACCTCCAGGGGAAAGTGAAGTGGAAGCTTTATCTTAGCGAGTCGGCGTCATTATGAATATGTCTGCTGGTTGTTTAATTAGTTTCCTCCTGATCGGTAAAAAAAAATTTAAAAAGACTGATAGACCATACAAATATAAACACCTTATGGGCATCTAAGGAGCCCTGGTGTTGCAGTGGTTAAGTGCTCAGCTGCTAACTGAAAGGTCAGCAATTTAAACCCACCAGCTGCTCTGCAGGAGAATGATGTGGCAGTTTGCTTCCACAAAGATTATAGCCTCGGAAACCCTATAGGGAAGTTCTACCCTGTCCTGTAGGATTGCTGTGAGTCATAATCGACTTGACGGCAACAGGTCAGCAACAGTTACGGGCATCTACATCTGAAAATGCCAAGCGCTGTAGAGTGAGTTAACAGTGGTGCTGTCTGTTGCAGCTGCTAAGAGACCTTTACTTCAGAATGACCTCTGGAATATTGTACTACCCTAAAACAGCAGGAATAGGTATTTAGCGTTCTTTCTTCTCGAATTACTTCCAGGTAACATCAATAGAGACATTGGTGATTCAGTGGTAGAGTTCTTGCCTTCCATGTAGGAGTCCTGGGTTCAATTCCTAGACACTAGACCTCAATCGCAGCTACCACCTGTCTGTCAGTGGAAGCTTACGTGTTGCTATGACAATGAATAGGTTTCCACGGAGCTTCCAGATTAAGATGGAGTAGGAAAAAAGGCCTGGCAACCTACTTCCTACAGTCAGCTGGTGAAAACCCTGTGGTTTCAGTTAACAGTCAAATCTGTAACCAATAATAGCAATGGTGTAGGACTGGGCAGCATTTTCTTCCCTTGTGCATGGCGTCACCGTGAGTCAGGGGTCAACTCAACGGTGGTTAACAACATTAGAGTGTGTTAGAGGCTCAATGCTGGTGATGGGTGTGTCCTAATGTCCAACTAATGTCCCAGTGCTGGCTAGTCCTTAACCCCTTTGGAGTCTTCATCTACCGGTACATGATGGCAGACACTACAAAAAGCAAGTTACGTGATTGCAAGGTGATGGTTTTACAATTTAGGATTTATATCCACATAGTTATTTAGGGTCCACCACATGCCAGCTACTATACTAAATACTGGGCTTTCTGAGATGACTAAGACAGTCCCTGCTTACATAGAGCACACAAACTAGCGGGAGAAGCAGGTAAATTGCACATTCACCAAACAATGGGATTACTTATAGAGGCAGAGAAAAGGCACCCTGAAGAGGGCAGCCAGACATGCCTGCAAAGATCAGAGAGTGCTTTCCTGAGGAATTAACACACCTTCACCTGAAGGATGAGCAGGCGCGTTTGCCAGGAAGCCAAGGGCAAGAAATGGTTTTTTAGCCCAGGGGGTTGGAGGGTGGTGAGTGAATGATTTACAAGAATGCAACATGTTCAAAGAATGGCAGTTTTTTACATTTGGATGGGATTAACAAGCAGTAGAAAGATGACGAAAAATTATGTTTCAAACAATGAAGTGTATCACAAAAAAATGAGATGGCATCATGTTGTCACAAACTGTCCAGTACTACAAAGGAAGTAGTTTTCTTTCTGGAAGGATTTTCAAACTCTGAGTTCTCTGCTGTTCCCACCAACATCCAGGTGCTCAAAGGATGTGAATGGCGTGCCAGGCAGCCCTTCTCACAGGACGGCTCGGTAGGGCATGTGCCCTGGAAATGACACATCACTCTCTAGCTTCCCCTTTGTGCTCCTAGAATGCCAGTGTTAATGCTGCTGGGGTTCAGATATGGCTGAGAAAAAAGTAGTCAGCCTTCCCTCTTCTTCCTTCACTCAACCAGTTCTCTGTGACTTGGATGATTGGTAGTGAAAAAGGACCATCTTTCCCCTAGTCCCCAAGACTAGTTTAATTCAGTTTCGTGAAGACTCACTTATTCAGCCGTATGGCGTGATAGTCTGCCAGGTGTAGGGTATGAAGATAACATGACCTACAGGACCTAGCACCTGTCCTTCAGGGTCTCGCTGGCACACTCAGTTCTCTAGCCATTCTCTTCCTTCTCATACCTTTCTACCCTCTATAATTTTCCTAGCATCAAAAATTCCTGTGCAAAGGCTTCTAGTAACTTGTTCCTTCCCGAGTCCTCTCCTTTTTACCCAGGTGGCACCACAGCCACCAGTGTGCCGGCCCCTTCAAAAGTGGGATGGAGGGATGGTATTCCCAAGATGGAAGGAAGCAGTGCCCCTTCCCCCTTGATTGAATGAATCAAATAGGTCTTCTAAAGAGTTCATAATGGCTGGCAGCTCACTCCTTGAAAGCCCACTTTCTCCTGACTATAAACACATGCACACCACACACATACACAAAACCCACACCCCCACTAATAACAATCTAGTTAGGATCTCAT